ATGGAAAACCAAGATAATTCTGCATTAACCCTGATGATGTACCCCAAACGAAGCAGCCATCCTGAATAGGGTAGAATCCCCATTCTGCATTTGACATGTGGGGAACTTTGCATTAGTGCCAGTTTCCAGGACAGACTACCTGGGAGAAGAAGATATTACAGATCTCAGTAAATCCTAATCACTTTAGTTTTGGGTTACTCATACAATGCAGTAATTTGCTTAGTAGGTTATTAATAAGTAGCTCTCAGGCATATGTAAATATGAACAACTATGAAGCAAGAAGAACTGAACAAAAGGAGCTGCATTTCCTTCCCACGAGAAGGGGTGGGGTAGGAACCATATTTTGAGAATTACTACATTAAGTGAACAAAGAAAAACATAATTATTTAGGAGGTTGTAGGCGTAAGAAAAAACTAACAGTGAAACCTTAAACTATGAGGTAATGCTATAGTAGCTGAGTAAGGTATTTCAAACCTTCTATTTCAGGCATATAGGATCCATGAAATCATGCCTGGAAACTAATTTTAAGCCTTAAGAAGCTATATGTGGAGTTCACTCTTTAACAAACTTTAGTTCATTGGTTGTTCACTATTTCAAGTGTCTTAACTCACAAAAGCTCAGAAAGAGGAGTATCCTTTACCAATCTACCATCATTCAAAAGGTAACTTTACCTGATACACCCTTATTTATATGTATCACACATTTATCTATAGCTAATTGCTTTTACCTATTTAAGCAGCAACCACTCCCCTTTGGAATGGATACTGAAAGCAAAAAGTGACAAATTTAGCTGGCATGGTGGCACTTTGCCTATAATCCCAGCTGTTGGGAGGCTGAGGAAGGAGGATTGCTCTGAGCTCGAGGCCAACCTAGACTACACAGTGAGACCCTGTCTCAAACACAAAAAACAAATAAAATGTGCCAAATTTGTACCTTTTTTCAGATCATAAAGATTGGCAAGAAAACTACTTCAAAAGCTGACTGAATAGATAAACCAAAGGAAATATATTATTTTGCACTTCTAAAAGTTGTAAAAGCTTCCTCCTAGAGTTTTTGGCCCAAGTTTTGGCATTCACTACATCCTGACTACTCTGTTTTTCAATGTTTTAGTTTGAATACCAGAAAAAAACTATCCCAATTCAATGGTAAATGCCTTGAAAATACCAAAACCTTGAAGAAAGGCTAAGTTCATAGTTTACTAACCCTAAAGAACTCTTTTGAAATAGATTAGTAGTTCCATTGTACTTCTCATTTGTGGTGCCTATTGACTTTCCACTTACTTTTGGAACTCTATGATTATCATATTCAACTTTAGAAAGACCTTGCCACAAAATACAGAACATTTCCAATACAAAGTTGTGCAATTGTGATTATCATCTTCAAGAATGGCTAATAGTTTCCCCAAACGCATAGATTTTAAAATAACAAAAAAAGTTGTATCTTAAAGAATGAAAGTGGGAGCTGGGCGTGGTGGCACATGCCTTTAATCCTAGCACTTGGGAGGCTGAGACAGGAGGATTGCTGTGAATTCAAGACCAGCCTAGGCTACATAGTGAGTTCCAGGTCAGTCTCAACTACATGGTGAGACTCTGTCTCAAAAAAAAAAGAAAGTGATTCTCCACTTCAGCATAACAAATTACTTCATTATTAGGGAAAATATGATTCTTCATAGGCTAAATTAAGCAGAATAGAAAAGTTGCAAAAGCACTTCAGGAATACAACAATTTTGTTTTCTCTTGCCAAAACATATTCCAGAGCTGCTTTTTTCTTTTTCCTATTCACTATAGAAAAACACACTATTATACAAAATGCTATTTTTTTTTTTTTTTGGTACCGGGGATTGAACTTGGGTTCTTGCATTTGCAAGGCAGGCCACCGAACCACTGAGCTAAATCCCCGGCCCCAAAATGCTACGTTTTTACTTCCCCTTGTTCCTGCTAGATGAAAAGTTACTCCACTGACAAAGCACAAAAAGTTCACCTAGAGTATGGGGAATACTTCTTATAATCAATAACTTTAAAATATCGTTATGTACAGAAAAAATGAAGGACTTGTAAAGCATCAAAAAGCTGAACACAGACATAAAGCAGTTTAGGACACCATGTATCCTGAGAAAGTAGAAAGCTCACAAAATTACCAGTTTTATTTTATTTTTAAAATTAAGACCCACTGAATACAAGATCGGAAAAACTGGGGCTGGAGATGTAGCTCAGTTGATAGAGGGCTTGCCTAGCCTGAGCAAGGTCTTGGGTTTGACTCCTAGAACTATGGAGAAAGAAAAGCTAGTTTAAAAAAAGCACAAACAGGGCCAGGGATTTAGCTCAGCGGTTCGGTGGCCTGTCTTGCAAGCGCAAGGACCCGAGTTCAATCCCTGGTACAAAAAAAATCACAAACAAAATACTCATAGCTGGGCAGAGTAGCACATGCCTGTAATCTCAGTTCTTGGGAAGCTGAGGCAGAAGGATTGCTGTGAGTTTGAGGCCAGCCTGGGCTACACAAAATTCAAGGTCAGCCTGCACCGCACAGTGAGATCCTCTTAAAAAAAAAATCCATCATTTAGAAAACCAAACGCCACTAACCAGACATTAGTGAAGTATCACACATGGACACAAGAATTATCTTATAGAGGGCTCTACAAAGGAAGATATCATACCAGGAAATGGAGACTCTAAGGTGAAAAATTAAGAGAATCCTTATGGAAGAGAAATTTAAAAGCATACAGTGTGCCTCATAATCTACTCCCCAGGCAACAAGGCATAAAATTCATGAAGGGAAGAAGGTTGTCTCATTTACATATCACAAGTGAGCAAGAAGGCATTGATTTCACTACCTATAATACTCAAAGGCCATGAATACATGTATGAAACGAGAGAAGAGACTTATAATCTCGAGGTCAAATTACTTGGAGGAAAATTTCAGCTGTCAGGGAAAACTTCCTGAAGATTATATTATAGTGCTAACTGCTGCCAGAAGTTCAAAGTAAATTAAAACTCAGAAAGCAAGAACTGGAAATCCCTCTACCCCCATCAAAACAGGGCTTGAAATCATGGGTTAAGATTATAACAGCACCTAAGAAGCTGAAAACCTTGAGGTTTTCAGTACAAGATGGCTCCCATATAGGTGATCAACAACTGTATTAATGCTAATGTCTTGTATCTACATATTGCTTTACAGTTTAGAAAATGCATGCCTTCAATTTTATTCCTCAACAGTAACCGGTTTGGTGGTGGAATTAGATATAGTTCCTTACTTCACTCCTAGCCTGTAGTTTGAAAAGTACTCTCACACATTGCATTGGTTATTTTACAGAAAAGATTCAAGGAAGTTAAATCACTCCACACTAAGGACAAGCAGATGGTAGGTAACAGGCCTGGAAAACTGCAGGTCTCTACTCAAGTCAATAAGAGACACTTCCAAGCCTTACAAGTTCAAAGTACAACACTCCACGGGGGGGCAATCTCACTCTGACAACTACCCAAGATAGGAGTTCAGAGTCTCAGCTGACCAGGTCTCCTCGGTCTTCCTACCTCAAAATAGGGAAAGTGAGGCAACAAGCAAGGACAAAAGCCTAATGTGGAGTCAGCAAGGGGGTTTTGGTGAGATGGGCTCCCTCCACTCCACACTGGCACTAAGCCCAAAAGAAGCTGACTCCTACGTCTGAAACACCTGGTTGGTCTCCAGGGAGAGGGAAGACCGCCCCCCACCCCCCCCCCCCGCCATTCCCATTTCCTTTCACTATTGTATTCCTCTGATCCACCCTGAAATCCTTTCTCCCCAAAGTCCTTAATCTTTAGCTCGGGCCTCCGGAGTTGAAGAATCCGCTAGGTCTGGCTCTCCTAGTCTCTCTCTCGCGGCTCTCAACCCTAAAGGCGCTCCTAGATGTCACTAGGAGAGTTCAGCCTCCCCTTTAAGCCGCCAACTCCACAAAAGGATGCCCTCCCAAAGCGTCCTTCCCCTCGTCCCTTCTGCCCTGGAACCCCTCAGGAACACTACTCAGTACCCGGAGCCAGCCCGAAATATACCTGCTTCTCACCTGGGCCCCGTTAGCTGCAGCGCCTCGGAAGAGAGACCCCCAGGAACCTTCTCCAGTCGAGACCCCTCAAAGGGGAACACCCTCCTTCAGGAACCTCTTCAGGCGCTTTAAGCGCGGGTCTTGGTGGAGACCTCTCTGTTGTGTTCCGGGCTATGCCCAACACCACCCACTCCCCGGCCCATTCAGGAGCCTGCCCCAAGCCCAGTCAGGTCTCTCCGCCCCAGGCTCAAGCGGCTGTTTCCCTCCCTCACAGACGTCCTCAGCCGTCGGATTTCCTCCCCCTTCACGGCCCCACGGGAATCCCCGGAGCAGCGAGGCAGGGCTGAGGCACTGACTTTCTTTAGCTCCGGGGCCCGCCGGAGGTAGGGGACAGCGGCAGCCGTGCGACTCCTTTGTGACAGGTCCGAGAGAGCGGTAAAGATGGACGCGAGGCCACAGCGCTGCCATTACGCGCAGGGCCCACCCCCGCTACATACCGCCTGGCCCTCCCTCAGTCACCTAGGAAACGCCCCTTCCTCGGTGGCAATCCCTCTACTTTACAGCCAATCATCCTTCAAGAAATATATCACGTGATACCACGAATCGGCCCGCCCTCCAGGCTTGAGTTGGCCAATCCTCTTGCTGAGAAGTGAACGGCCCAATAAAGTCTCTCGGGTTCGCTTGTGGAGCAACGGATTTCCATCGGGCTCGGGAGGAGAAAGAGAGGTGTTGATTGGATTACGCCGCCGGAAGCGGGGCGGAACTTTGTTTGGCGGTGAGTTACAGGAAGCCCTGAAGGGTCAAAAGGAATACAAAAGCAAAGGCTTTTTTTTCTTTCTTTCCTCTTTCCTCTCTTTTTTCTGCCTTTTTTTTTTAAAGAGTGAACGGCCTTGGTGGTGGCGGTTTGGGGTGGGCGCCGCTGAGGTGAGGGAGTCTCGCCTCCCGCGAGCTGGTAGGTGAGTGCATCCTGGGTTTTGGCCAAGCTGAGAAACAGCCTGGGCTTCGCTGAGGAGATGGTGAGCCTTGGCTGGAGTTAGAGTTAAGGCCAGGCCTGCCCTCACTTCACGCATTTCTACAGTGTCCTGAGTCGCTGGGGCCAGAGCTGGCGGGGCCTAGCCTGCGCGGAGCGCAGGGAGCCTGCAGAAGAGGCGTGAGGGTCGTGGGGCGAAGACTCCCCGACCCTCTGAGGACGGTCCAAGACCCGGCGCCTCTAGTCCGCTTTCTCCACTTTTCTGCTGAGAACCCCCGCCTCGGGACTCAAGTGAAGAGCCGGCTGTGTTCTAGAGATTTTGGAACAGCTTCAAGCTATTCAGGGGATGTGGGCGCGCCTGGTATAAGTCGTTGAACCCCAGAATGTAAGTGCAGTCTGGGAAACACATTCACTGTGTACCACGTAGATACTGTACTAAGTGCTTCCCCCCCGCAATAGAAAACAAGCTAGCGTGCCCGGTTTGCAGGCTACTTACAGAACCAAGATCGAGAGTTGAAGCGTCTTAAGAATTGGTGGCCCTTGGGGTGGGCCCTTAGTCCAGACGGGAAAATGGGAGACCTATTTTTAAACATTAGAGGAAAATAACATATGGCCTTTAATTTCTAAATGCGAATTCTCTCTGCCACTCTCACATCCCCTACCCCCGTAGTCTAAGGGGGTCTACAGTTGGAATCCAGCCAAATGCAAGTCCGGGGGTCAGAATTCCCATTCACCGCCTGTGTAGCGGCTGTAAGATAAGGATTGTCACGTTCCTCAGTTTGGTTGGTTGATGTGTCACTGAAATGGTTTGGAAGGCATTGGTTCTGATATCTTTGAAAGGAATCCGTGTTTAGAAGAGCTTTTTGACATAAAAAATTGAGCTGACATCAAGGCAGCTTTTATATCTTCCAGTTGGAGCCTAAGATTAGTTGTGGACAATTGGTAAGGATCTGAAAGTAGAGGCTGCTGATTATCTTTCTCTACTGAAGTCTTAATGCCTTTATGGGGAAATTCTTGGTGGTCTGAAGAAAGGAAGAATTACGTCAAGACCACGTACTCAGTTGTCAGTCTTCACTTTGACCTTCCAAGAATCTTGAACTTGGTTAGGATTACGCTGTTGCTTCAGACATTTAAAACCGCGTATCTGATAAATGAAGTAATTTAAGTGCATGGATCAGCTGTAGGCTCAATTATAGTGTCATCTGTCTCTGTGACATCTGAATCAAACCTTTTCATTGTGCTATTAAACACCGTTTAAACATACTTAAATATGATTACTCTTAAATATGATCGTATAGAATACCTGTGTTTTTTTAAAAAATTATCTCACGTTTTTAGTTCAGAACACAGATGTTCTTTTGGGGGATTTGTTACATGCATATAACAATCCCTTTATCCTCTCTCCCTTTCCTCTTCTCCATCCCTGTATCTCCAAGAGTCTCCCTTCTAGTATTCTATCATCAGTATTTTATTCATTTATTTATAGTTTGTTTTTCATATACAAGAAAACACGGAATATTTAGCTCTCTGAGTCTAGTTTATTTCACATAGGATAATGGTCTTGAGTTCCATCCGTTTTCCTGCCAGTGATATGATTTTGTTCTTCTTTATGGCTGAATACTATTTCCTTCTATATATGTTTATATATTTATTTATCTTACATCTTCTTTATTTTCATCTATTGACAGGCATCTAGGCTGTTTCCAGAGCTTAGGTATTGTGAATTGCTCCTCTATAAACATGGGTTATGTATCACTATAGTATGATGTCTTTCTTTCCAGAATATACTTAGGAAAAGTATAGCTGGGTCAAATGGTATTTGTTTCTAGTTTTTCTTTCTGGAATCTCCATACTGATTTCCATAGGGTTGTAATAGCTCACAGACCTACTAACAAACCTACTAACAATGTAGGTGGTTTCTCCCACCAGCATTCATTGTGTATGTTCTTTTTGTTTGTTTGTTTGTTTTTTGAGACAGGGTCTCACTATGTAGTTGAAACTGACCTGGAACTCACAATGTAGTCCAGGCTGGTCTCGAACTCACAGTAGTCCTCCTGCCTCAGCCTCCCTAGTGCTGGGATTACAGGCATGTGCCACCATGCCCGGCCTTTTTGTGTATGTTCTTGACAATTGCCTTTCTGACTGGGGTAAGATAGAATTTGTTTTGATTTGCATTTTCTGAATGGCTAAAATATTGAATATTATTTATCCATAATTATTGGCCACTTGCACTACTTTGGAGAAATATCCATTCAGCTTACTTAACCATTTTGATAGTCATTTGTTTGGGGGGGGTATTTTTTCTTTTAATTTTCTGAGTTCTTTATATGTTCTATTATAGCCAAGCCTGGTTCCTAAGCCCCATGTTGGGGCACCATCTGTAGCCAACCCATTGGACTGGCCTTGTTTTTGGACTTGAACCTGGTGGTGAACAGGATGAATGACAGAAACACAGGAGTCAGTTTAACATATGGGCAGCCTGAGGTCTTTTGTCTCTTAATAGGCAAAGGAGCCCTTACCTTCTGGCTCATCTTGCCTTTATTCACCTAAAAGAGTACAAGCAATAATAGTAATACAAGATTCATCTGCTTTCCAGTATCATGAGTACATACTCTGGTAAACAACTTAACCTCAGCTGTCTTTAAGTTTTCCCTAGAACCTGCAATCTGCAATCACCCCTGAGTGCAGCCTTTCTCCTTTGTGCTCACAGAGGAGGCCAATTAGGCCTCATTTCTCTAGTCTTCGAGTTCTAGATATTAGTCCTCTATCAGAATGGTAGCCAGCAAAAATTTTCTCCCACTGTATAGATCTGCTCTTCTCTCTGTTGATTGTTTCCTTTGCTGTGCAGAAACTTTTAAATTTTATTAAAGTCCACTTACTGATTTTTAAAAATATTTACTGTGCTATTGGAGTTCTAGTCAAGAAGTCTGCCTAGACCTATGGCTTCAAGTGTTTCCTCTGTTATTTTCCAACAGTTTCAAAGTTCTTTTTTTTATATCTAGGTCTTTGATTTGATATTAGTACAGGGTGAGAGATAGGGATCTAGTTTTAATCTTCTGCAAACGAATATCCAGTTTTTCCCAGCACCATTTGTTGAAGAGGCAGCTTTTCCTCAGCCTATGTTTTTGGCTCCTTTGTCAAGAATCAGATGACTGTAGGTGCATGGAGTTATTTCTGTTTCTACCATACATGTCTGCTTTTGTGCCTGTTCCATGTTGTTTTAGTTACTATAGCTTTGTGTTATAACTTGAAATTCATATTGTTAAGTTTGATTCCTGAGTTGATGCTTATAAATTGCTTGTGGTGAGTAGCTTTATTGCCAATATTCTCAGAACCCTTAGGAAGTGATTACTTTTCAGAAGTGACTTCCAGGTGTAGCTACCTTTTGGGTTTTGAGTCTGTTGCAGGGTCCTATCTTCATCCTTATTGGGGGATGAGAAATTTCTGCCTACTTGGCTCCTCCTCTTCATTAAAGTCTCTCTTCACTCTCCCTGTAGACTACAGTTCTTGCCTCAGGTCCTTCCTGGGTCCCCGGAACCCACTTCCCTCCTCCTTGTTCTGCTGTATTCCAGGGAAAGGACACCAAATCTCAGAGAAGCTCTTTTTCTGTTGCTCACCACTCCATCTTCCTTGAAATCCATAGTGTGAGGCCTCCAGCTTTGCTCATTTTGCTCAGGGTTTCTTTAGCTATTCTGGGTCTCTTCTGATTTCATATGAATTTTAAGATTGTCTTTTCAACTTCTGTGAAGAATATTATTGGTCAGCCTCTGGTTTTCTGAATTTCACTGTGGTGAGTCCAACTATCATTTGTTTTTGTTCAGTTTGTTTGGTATTATTTATTAAACTTTTTGGCTGTGGATTAGATTTTCATTAGTTCTTTAAAATTCTCTGCTGTTTTCCATATATTGCTTCTGTCCATTGGCTCTTCCTTCCTTACTAATTCGACAGACATTTTCTTTTCATTTGCTATGTCTGTTTCTGTTTTTCAATACTACATTCTGGGAAATTCCACCATTAACTCTCTCTGTTATTTCTAATCCGTTATTAAACTCATCCACTGAAATGATCTTTTAATTTGTTGTCTATTTTTTTGCAGTCCCGGGAATTGAATGCAGGGCCTCTTTGCATATGCTAGGCAAGTGCTGTACTGATGAGCCATACCCCTAGCATTTGTTAGTTCCTGGAAGGTCTGTTTGGTTTTGCTACTGTTGAAGTTCTTATTCCTTATTCATTTTGAGGTTTGATTTTTATTTCTTTAAAGATGGTAAGCACAGTATTTTATAATCCTTTTTTGTTGTTGTTGTTGTTTTTGAGACAAGGTCTCACTATGTAGTGAGACTGACCTAAAACTCACTATGTAGCCCAGGCTGATCTCAAACTCACAGCGATCCTCCTGCCTCAGCCTCCTGAGTACTGGGATTACTGGTGTGTGCCACCATGCCCAGCTTAGTTTCTGCATTAACCATGGTTTACTTTTCCTTAATTTATGCACATGCCAGGCTTAGCTTTTTTACTGAATGCAAATTCCTCTCTTGCTAAAAAGTAGTGTTTAGTATCTAGCATTGTACTTGCATATAATAGGTCTTACGTAAAGATTTGCCCCCACCAAAAGCACCCCAAACTGAGTTTGCTGGCTTTGTTTCTTTCATGTAATGCAAAGCATTTATTGGTACATTTTAGATATACATAATGATAACATTCATCATAGGGAATTTATACCTGTACGTCTTACGTCTTGCTCCTTTTTTTCCCTTCGACCCCACTTCCCCTTCTTATTTGCAAAAGCTTTATTTCCATTTTTTTCCTTCTCTTTTTTTCTTGCCCCCCTTCTCATTTCCCAATATCTATTATACATTTTGGTCTCTATTTTTACTTTGTTTCACACACCAGAGAAACAATGCAGTATTTAAACATATGTGTCCAATTTATTTCACTTAAAGAGTATGGTCTCAAGGTGCATCCATTTAGTTAGAAATGTTTAAGCTTATCCTTCTTTATGGCAGAGCAGAGCCTTTTAAAAATGTGTTTTTAGGGTGGAGTTACCTGAAGAGGGTGGAGGGTGAGGGTACAGTTATATTTCAGTGTGTGGGTTGCTAAAGCCAGCTCAGATGGCAAAATACAGTGGCTCTTTGATTTATGAACTCCATCAGTTCCTGGGTGCTGGTTGTAACTCAAATTGGTCATAAGTTAGTACAGCTGAGATCGGGATGTTTACCTGGGCACTCCTAGGTCACAGGAGGCAGATGAATCTTCCAGTAACCCAATTAACTCAAGTTGTTTGTATGTCAGGCGGGTCATGTCTTGAGGTCTACTGTAGTTTATAGTCAAAGCTACCCTGGAAAATTTCAGCTGGATGTAGAACTACCAGCTCTAAGTTTCTAGGTG